TTTTCCAGAAGATAGAGCAGAGGAACACCTTCTCTTATCTGCTCTCACTTTGTGCAATAAGACCACTGAACTGTCGGCAAAAGCTCGCTTTTACGTAATCAGTATCAGGGACGATTTTCCGATTCACAAGTTAATTCAAAATTTACATGAGGGTATGGTGGAAACGGTGGTTATCACTCATCATTCCAGGTTGAAACTTTCAATACATGGAAGCGCAACTAAAAATATTATCATATTATTAAACGATATGGATGAAATTCTAAGTTTTATTTTGGACTCATCATTGACATCCGATGAAATCGTAGAGTTGAGACCGCGCAAGTTGAACAAATTGAACCATTACTGCATCCAAAACAATTTGTTTGATTTTGATTTCAAGGTAGCCAACAAAACATGCGATTTCAGCTTACACATCAATCGAACCGAGTTGAATGGCTCATACTCATTGACTGATCCTGTCCTTCAACATACCAAAGACCTTTTTGCAAACACCATTTGGAACGCCAACAACTTCATTACATTCTTGATACCCAGCATGATAGGAGGGGTAAAATTCGTCAGCTCGATGAAGAAAAACCCCCGTTTGAAATTTCTCTTCAAATTTTTCTGGCGTTTTTTTAAAGGGCTGAGGACAACTGTTTGCCTCGACGAAATATGCTTCAGTTACGACCCCTTCATCGATACGATTCAAGAAATTGACATTATCAGTGAAAATTATTTCACTTTCGTTCCTAATCTAGGAGGAAAAATTATCGACATCGGGTACGTTGCCAAAGAGGACGTATTCGAGAGCGGAAGGTCGTTGTCTCCTGTCTCGCTGGCGGTCTTGAACCAGGCTGCCGCTGATATCGGGGAGAGACTGCAGTGTATCATTTTCATATACGGGCGTTATAAGGAATTATTCCCAGATCGAGACTCAAGAATCGATTATTTTGAGGATGCTCAGGCTAAAGCCTTTGACATGCTCGTCTTCGATGGTAGCATAGCTCCGAACGAAGACTTCTCTATGTTCGACTTCTCTGCTGCCATTCAATCTCTCTCTTACTGTTTTGCCACCCCCCGCAGCAGTTTTGTGCCGCAGTCGTTTTTACCGTTCATTTGCTTTTCGCCACAAACCTGGTTCCTCATCCTGATCACAATTATGTCCCTATACGCCGCTTTTTATGCTTTCCATCGCTCACAATGGATGCTATTTAACGGACTCTACTCGGAAATCGAACGACGCGCTTTCGCTGATACACCTGTGTCGTTTTACATTTATTCGTTCTTGGTGGTTGGAAGCCCATCGAGGTTACTACTGGGGCGGGTCGCCACCGGGAAGATCCTGTTTTTAATCGTTTCTCTTTTTGTCTTGGTCATTATCACGGTGTATCAAAGCGAAATGACGACCCTACTGGCCAAAGCAGTTCGGTACCCAGAGATAGATACATTGGAGGATCTGAAGAATTCATACCTAACGATACAAACTCCAGACCTTGAAGCGTCCTTGGAGATCCTCCAGGACTACCCCTTTTACGACGCTATCAAGACTAAACTTAGCGAAGGACCGTATCGGTACCGCCGGTTCTTGTACAAGACGCTTAAAGATTATTGGGACATCAATACGCGGGTCGTTGATGTTATCACTCCAAATGTTTCAAATGCCAATTTGGATCCACTTACAAAGAATTTTATAGATGCGGCATCTAATTTCCGATCAATTGTAGAATCCAACGCTGTTGAGCTAGCGGTCTCGAATTTGTGCTACATGGGTCGAGGTAACATTAAAGTGGAGGATCCATTATTTATGGATTTCCCAGAACTTCATCTGGTCAAAGAATGCATGCTTACTTATCCTATGACCCTCCAAATCCAAAAGAATTCTTACCTTTCCGATTTATTCATCGAAACGGTAAGCACGTACGTTGAAATGGGCTTAATTCAGAGAGTCATGGTGGATACAGTTGACTACGCCAAGGAAATGGATTCTCTTTTTATTGATGACGCCACTAAGGATGAAAATACAGCCGAAGCGTTCAATTTCAAAAATTTACAACCAGCATTTGTCAGTCTCGTTATAGGCTGGATTTTCAGCAGTGTCGTTTTTGCCGTAGAACTCATGGTTGATATTCCGAACGAAATCCGTATGTCAAGGTTTACTCTGTGGGCCAAGAAACTTGTTCGTCCGTCAAGTCTTTCGGTTTGATTTAGTTTATGTCATGGCAAAGGTATTAGGAGACCGGATTGATTCATCACTAAGATTGAATTTTGAAATGAGGAACCACTATTTCTAGCTCATTTTAGGAACAACATATACGCCATTAGTTCCCCTATGCAGAAAGGTGATTTTACGGAGGAGCCGGGGATAGTGGTTCCTTATTACAAAATGCAATCCACTTATTTGTCTCATCATTTTCAATCATGGCGGATAGAAAGGCTCTATCAAAACGAATTACCCAGAAAAAGTGATGCTGGAAAGAATTAATCGTTTAAAGCATTTGATAAATAGTGGTAACTCTTCGACGTGATGGAAATGTTTCTTGCCGAAATGTTTTTGTGGTACACCCCGTTGATGAAATTGACGAAGTCTGGAGATTAAACGATTTCTTTGTCTCGTCCGTGGACAGATCACCTCCGTGGCCCAGTCTGGGGACTGGCTGGTCAAAAGTCTGAAAATCACGCCAACTGGTCGGTCGTTAATTTTAAATGCAATCTATGTGCTGATCGACGAAAGTCCCTTACTGACTGACTTTTGACAAATTGCTCACGAGATTTTGAACGAAATTTACAAGTATTATAACAATTTACATGTTACATGCAAATACATTTTACAACCTAATATATTTTCTTGAAAGTTATCTTGAGATGAAATTACACTCGCTTTTTCCTTTCAAATGTTGCGTATCGGTAAAAATTGGCGATAGGAGCTGCGTTTCAAAATACCATAGGAGTTCTTATAGCCGACTGAAGAGGGCGATAGAAAATCATATAGCTGGCTGTAGAAAGTGGAAAAAATCATACGGCCGGGCTACACGAAGCGATAAAAAATTATACAGCCGGGCTATAGTTCCTATCGCCGGGTTTTACACTTTATCACCTGACTGTTGCTTTTTAGCCATCGGCTATAAAAGGCGATAAGAAATTGTGTAGAAATTCTTGTGCTTTGTAAATCCTTAAGTTTGTACGGAGTCACCTTAATATTTACAAAACGCACATTATATTTTCCTTTACTACATATTTTTTTTCATCAATTAAAATGAGAATAATCCATACAGAGTGTGCAAACATTTCAAAGTCATGAGTTGAAAAACGCTGACTCCGCGAGATTAAATATTAGAGCCTAACACAAAGCGGAGCGGCGGCGCACTGGCGCCTACAAACCTAACAGGGATACGTCACGCATTGCGCAATGCGTGAAGTATCCCTGTTAGGTTTGAAGGCGCCAATGCGCGTTCAGCGCTGGCTGCCCGCCCGCCTCGCCGCGCCGCAGCGTACCGCGGCGCTTGAAGCAACTTTTTCACACCGGAGGTATTGCACAGTATCATACGAAATTGAAGGTGCTCCAACATATTAGGAATGGCAGGCATCCTTCAAAAGTACGGAGCTTTCCTCGCAAATTAAATCAAGATGCTGCGGCCCAAATAGAGAGCGGTAGTCCAAAAACTCACTAAGTCCTAGCATCCGTAATTAGTAACGCCTGGCTGTTGCTTAATCGCCATCGGCTAGAGAAGGCTATAAGAAATTACGTTGTCGGCTATAGAAGCTATTGGAAATCTTACAGCCGGCTGTAGGTCTATGGTATTTTGGAACACAGAGTCTACTGCCAATTTTTACCAGGGATATTTGCGGTGTTTTAAATAAGAGTGTAGATGATTTAAAAATTGGAGTCGTTTTTTCTTTACAAAGGCTAGACTTTTTTGACAGTAGCGCCTTGATGCAAATATTTGTGTTTCACGGGTGAGCACATTGCATGCTCAAATTTCAGGGGCACATTCGATTTTCTTACTTCTTCAGAGATGCAAGGGACGTGTCAGTTGTAGCACTCTAATAACAAAGTACGAACATGTGAAGACTATTCTCAGTAAGTGAAACGAGACCAGAGTATCTCAGACCAAAAATTGAATCGGTCATTCTTAAAAGGACTGAAGCGCCCGAAACGAAAACATATTAGAAACCGTAATAATAGTCCCGTTTGAAACCGTAAGTTGTATTTAAGTTAACGTGATGAAACAAATCGGGCCATTTTTAGTCCTTTTCAAGATCTTGCTGTTTTCCGCTTTTAAAACTATAGGGCTAGTAAACATGTAGGACTGTATATGAAATGTTCAAAACAAATATCAGTACTGCAGGTTGACCTAAATGAAAGAAATAAAACGGGGGGATAATTTTTTTTTTTTCACGCGTGTCATCACTAACAATATTCGTGAAAGCGCTCGAGTTCATACGAAATGTTTACGCTGTGAAGATATCTGCCACATCACACACAATTTGATTACAACAATTGAACATTCCGCAATTCGGAACTATAATTTCTAGCCCGGTTTAAAAACAACGTATGTGCCATCAGTTCCCCTATGCACATAAGTGTTTTTCCAGAAGAGCCAAAATTTATAGTTCCAAATTTCAAAATTCAGTCCAATTATACGAAGTACATTTTGTGATATGAGAAGATCACGACTACCGTTCGTGGCAACGCAAACTTTTAGCCACACTTGGTTTTTCAAGTAAGAAAGTACACAACGGGACTTCCTGAGAAAACAAAAAAATGTTCAAAAATGCTGTCATTATTTCACGTGGAACTGCTACCTTTCTCACTCAGCATAGACGCTTCACTTGGCTTGTGATAATTGGACTATTTCTATCAAACGGAACTATGTGCATTATGACTTGATCCCTGTTATGCACATATCCTTATTGGTCTCAGGGCTCATGTCTTAATGCACATAGTTCCGTTTGATAGAAATACGTCCAATTCAAATTGCGGCTTTTGTTTTCTCTTTGGACGGAGGGAGGACTCATACCTGGAAGATGTTGTTGGGCGTGTATTACAGAAGTGAATCCTCGGTGTTGTTATTGTTATTATTGTTATTTACGATGGTTGTGCGGAGGATGGGCCTGATTTGAGTGGTGTTGCTGCGCAGAAGGGATGAGCTTGCCTGTCGATTCGATGACGTCAGAGTTTCCGTGTAGCTGCTAGAATCCGTGCTCGCCTTCCAGCAGCATGGAATCCACGACAGCGGAGGTAGTCGCCTGAAATGGAACACGTAAACTAATTACATCAAGTTCTTACTCAGAAGAGAAGCTCTTCCTCGTAGTATACATGTACTTTTATTTAAAAAACATAATTTTAACAATACGACGAACATTTTTTTTAAAACATAATTTTAACGATACGTCGAACGCGCTTTTTTATGAATTTTTTTGAATTTTTAATGAACTTTAAGACGTTTGATTACCGCTCCTGCACTTTAAATTTGCGTGCGAGTTCCACGGTGAAAGAAGATTAAATTTTCCTGTTTTTCCCTTCATTTTTCGTGGAAGTATTTTTTTCTCTGTTCACAACTTTGATTTTTCGTGCAACATTTTTTCCATTGCGTGAATTATTTTTTAATTGCGTGAAATATTACAATTTCTGTGACATTCATTTTCGACTTGGTGATAAACTTACTTTTTCCGTGAATATACACTTTTTTTTGAGTGCCGATAAATGCAACCCATTTTAAAAGCTGCGCAATTTCGTGTATTGCGGAGGAAACATTTTCTTTAACGTGGACGCGCAATGGCGCAATGCGTCATAGTATCGTCTCAGATTGAAGGCGTTCGGAGCTATGAAGCTGTGAACGGGATGTGTTGGAAAAATATACTTGTCACTGACGTCTCTGTTGAACGACGAAGAGAATACTTTTTTTCTCGACGTCGCAGCGAACGTCACGTCTGAGTTTTTGCTCACCTCAACGTCCTGCACGTATGCGTGGAGAAGAGACAATAAATGATGGGATTGGCGGCCGAGTTGAGCGGTGCCAAACTTTGAATGAACGTCGCGACTGCGATGTTGGTCTGAGTCCGCGGGATGTACCCGTAAACTTGGAGCAAGTCGAATACGATGTACGGACTCCAGCAAAGAATAAAAACTGCAACCAGAAATAAAACAATTCCAATCAATTGGACTCATTACAGAAACAAAAGATGTGCCATTAGTTTTCCTAGGTAGATACGTGTTTTTATGTATGTAGTCCAGGCGCCTGGTAAGTCTACCTGGAATTTTGGGTACACAGCGATTTTTTTGGTCTACTTTATGTTTTTTGGGTCGCTGAATCCGAATCTGAAGTTTCCGCACGCGTATCTGGTGAGCATTTTCCGCTATTTTGAAAAAATGGCCTAAAAAGGCCTTTTTTTGCGGTTTTTTCGATAAAGCGGCTACGGATGAGGAAAAGTCCCGGATTTAGCTAATGTTTTGAATAGCTGACATAATTTGGAAGAAAATGGTTTATACATATGTTAGGTTTGCTTAAAAATTGAGGAAGATACAGCATCGTGAACATCGCGCCTATTCACGTTTTCGCGGCGCACCCGTCAACGCGCGATCCGGCTCGCCGCGGTCAGCCAAGTTCCGAAGCGTTCTAAAGTTCCGAAATCCGAGGTTCCTCAATTTTTGAGCAAACCTAGCATATTCATATACCATTTTCTTCCAAATTTTGTCAGCTATTCAAAACATTAGCTAAATCCGGGACTTTTCCTCATCCGTAGCCGCTATATCAAAAAAACCGCAAAAAAAGGCCTTTTTAGGCCATTTTTTCAAAATAGCGGAAAATGCTCACCAGATACGCGTGCGGAAACTTCAGATTCGGATTCAGCGACCCAAAAAACATAAAGTAAGCCAAAATAATCGCTGTGTACCCAAAATTCCAGGTAGCCTCATTTTTAGCTACCAGGCGCCTGGACTATGAGCTAGAAATTGCAGTTCCTTATACTGCAAAATGCGATCCAATTCATGATAATCATTACAACGGAACATCCCTAGTAGCAGAACAAATTTTTGTTTTTCTAAAAAAAAGTATAAAAAAACATATCTGTTATCTAAATGGTTGTTTTATATAAAAAACGTGTAACGCTTATATAAAAAAATCAATGTTCAGATCTGACCATAATATATGAAAAATAATAAAAGCTAGGTAAGGTAATTTTTTTTAAAGACAATTTTTTTATTTTTTTATATAACGCATGCATACGAAAGTGTTAAAAGTGAACATTTTTATGTAACTATGATTTTAAAAAAAGGTCATCATTTTCGTGAGCTTTTCGCGAATTGGAAGATTTTTTAGTATGTTTGCGAAAAGCCTACGAAAATTATGACTTTTTTCATATGATCATTACATAAAAATGTTCACTTTTAATACTTTCGTGTGCATGCATTATATAAAAAAAATAACTTTCGTGCATAATCTTTATCTTTTCATTCAATGGTTTTGCTACTAGGGATGGGGTGAGAAACGGCACGAAGAACTACTGTGGAAGTGTGGACTCCGCAAAGNTGTCAGCTATTCAAAACATTAGCTAAATCCGGGACTTTTCCTCATCCGTAGCCGCTATATCAAAAAAACCGCAAAAAAAGGCCTTTTTAGGCCATTTTTTCAAAATAGCGGAAAATGCTCACCAGATACGCGTGCGGAAACTTCAGATTCGGATTCAGCGACCCAAAAAACATAAAGTAAGCCAAAATAATCGCTGTGTACCCAAAATTCCAGGTAGCCTCATTTTTAGCTACCAGGCGCCTGGACTATGAGCTAGAAATTGCAGTTCCTTATACTGCAAAATGCGATCCAATTCATAATAATTATTATAACGGAACATGGGGTGAAAAACGGCACGAAGAACTACTGTGGAAGTGTGGACTCCGCAAAGAGGACATTGATTGCGTAAAAAAGCATACATCTTCGTAAACAGCTACCTTACATAGCCTCTTCCGAACCTGATCTAGCCTAACCGAGTGTAGGTCTGGCTTACTCTCGCAGAAGTATAGTAAGTATAATGTTTACAGCACTGCAAAAAAGAAACTGATTTTTCTCGCTTATTTTTGGTATAATATCAATGACCTTTTGAAACCACGTACCTCCACCTACAAAGTTGCAGATTTCGTGTCAAACTCTCTACTTTCTTTCAAAAACTAGTCAACAAAACGTAATTTTTTGAAAACTTCTTTGATATTTTTCCTCTGTTTGTAGAATATTCAGAGTGAATTTCAGGCTGTTGAGTAGGATTATTTCTCTTCAAATAAAAATAAAATAGGCGCGGAAATTTTGAAACACCACAATGGGAATGCATGATTTTATACACTTCGGTCATCAAAATGTGCCTCTGTTTCCCTTCGCAGGTGTAGTAGTTCCTTGTTGTCGAGGGCCAGTAGTCAAAACAGGATTTATTACACAGCTAATATTCACTTTGTGCTCCTGTTCTCGAAGCATTTTCGGAATTGAGTTTTTTTTATATAAATAAATATGTATACAATACGTACGTGTGTATGTTTAGTTGGTGCTTATGTTTATTAAAGGGTGCCTTCAAAAAACAAAGTCCCTAACAATATGGAAAAGAGAGATCGATGCAGAGAGAGGGCATGAGTCAATAAGGAGGGAGAAACGGACAAGGAAAAAGGACTGAGAGAGAAAAGGAAATTTGCACAAAAATAAAAAAAGACAAGGCGAATACTTTAAATTTTGTTTTAAAATGTGTCAGTCTAATTCAAATTCGCGGTTTATGTAAAAAAGTCATTTTTGACCTCTTCCAAAGACCCCTCCCACTGTGCGGCACGACGCACATACTGAAACGGGATAATATAAGAGGTTGGATATCGATGGCGAAACTGCAGAAATGCGTATATCGGTTTGCGGCGTTGCAGACTCCCTGTCATACGTTATTTTTCATATGGAAAACCACTTACGCAATTGAGCACTTCGGATATTTTTCCTCTCTATGAGAAGAATATTCTGTGAAAATTTCAAGCCACGATGTTGGTTCGGTTTCCTTTTAAAAAATAAAATAGGAGCGAGATTTTCAAACACCGCAACCGATATACGCATTTTTGCAGTTTCACCATCGATATGTAATTCCCGTGTAAAATTTCAAAATTTGATGTTCATTTCGTCACAAATTCAAGCAAGGAATGTTCCTGAGAGGCAATTTCACGAAAAAACCAACGGAACCACCCTTAATCATTTTCGTTTCATTTACAAAAATACAAGCTTTCAAAGTCTTCAGATTTTGTCCGAAATCTCCTATTGACTCGACGGACGAGGTTGGATGTGAAATTCACGTGTGAAATTTCAAAATTTGATGTTTATTTCGTCACAAATTCAAGCAAGGAATGTTCCCGAGAGGCAATTTCACGAAAAAACCAACGGAACCACTCTCAATCATTTTCGTTTCATATTTTCAAAAATACAAGCTTTCAAAGTCTTGAGATTTTGTCCGACACTATTGACTCGAGCCACCGTGCGACGCCTAATAAAAATATAAAAAAGCTCTCAAAGTGTCTTGGAAATTTATTAAAGCGTCCAAATTGAATGGATCACTCTCTCCGAGTCGCTGCACCCGCGAGTCCGCCGAAAAGATTCCGCGCGATAAAAACGCGGTGCTGTAGTGACGCATAATTAAGCCGTTGGACGTTTAATATAGGCGAGGAAGAATGTATCACTCGGCGGGCTGAATATTTTAACTTTAAGTTGCACATAAAAATTTGTCGGCGGAGAAGGCGGGAACGAGCGCAGCGGGAGAGTGATTTTCTTTTCACGACTTTTTTGTTCCCTCTCGCACCCTTTTTCCTCTATGACGCTCCGCTCTGGTAGGTCGCCGAGTGTGTCTCGTCAAAGGAGTGAGGATTTTAACTCTGAATGCTCGAATTCGGACTCTTTCTCATGTCAACTTGGAGCCGTCCACGTTGAATGCTTCGCAAGAAACTTAAGGTGATTCGATGGACGCCATATTTTGTGTCAGAACGGCATGCGATATATCGCATCAATTGGTTTCATTTTTTCAGCTACTCGTCATTTTTCTCAAATTTTGAGATCGCAATTCTGTCGTCAGGAGACTAAAGCACTCACTTACCAATTTTAGCAAAGAAATTCAACGTACTAAAGGCGTTGTTTTTTTAGAGAGAAAACATCGCATTCGATACTGATATCGAAACTGCACTCGAGTGCGATATTTTCTCTCTAAAAAAACCACGCCTTTATTACGTTGAATTTCTTTGTTAAAATCAGTAAGTGAGTGCTTTAGTCTCCTGACAACAGAATTGTGATCTCAAAGTTGGAGAAAAATGACGAGTAATTGACAAAATGGAACCAATGGATGCAATATATCGCATATGCCTTTCTGACACAAAGTATGGCGTCCATCGAATCACCTTAATGAGTCAATTGCTCAAAAACTCCTTCAATTCAGTGTGCGTGCAACACGGGCGTCCTAGGAGTACGAATAATTGTATCAAAGCGTATCTTTGATAGTAGTATGATCCCATTTGCGTAAACACGAATAAATCTCACTCACCTATGACTATAACGAAAGTCATCTTGACGGTTTTGATTTTTGCTCTAGGGATGATCCCTCTGGAACTAGATCTCCGGATATCTGGCTCGATTTCCCCATCTGAAAAAGAAAGAAAATTCTTTTTATATTGCAGAAAAACAGGAAACCGAGAGAGGTACTTGTTCATTTGTATAAGGGTAACTTCACGATAACTGGAATAGTTTTGTCGCCGTAACAGACAACACATTTTTCGGTCATATTTTTAGTAGTAATGATAATCACAGGTTTTTTTTTTTTGGGGGGGGATATCAATTTGAATCATGCCGAAAACATCAGATATTTTAGCTTCAGTTCAGAATCGAGACCATTGCGTCACTCATTAGGCTCCCAGACAAATGTTCAGCTTGGAGCGAGAATAAAAATTATTTCTATACTATACGCTTCAACGCTTCATATAGCTCTATTCTAAGAATTCAATTCTCATTAACTTCTATTTAACTACCGCGTTAGCTTTTAGGACCTAAAAAAAAAATTCGAACAGTCCACATCATCTTTCCTGAGCATGGCGATAGCAATTCCTACGTTGTGAGTTGACGTTCAGTTTGAAACAAAAAGAGATAATAAGAGGAAAAAGGAAAAGATTGCACAGTGTTGCCAAGTTACGTGTATCACTATACTGATTTGGAGGGGCCCCCAAGCTATTACGAGGCAGGGTTTAAAATTAGATGGAGCATCCAAGGTGACATTCGGAAATGTGTAATGTAGTGTAGGACTGTTTCCAGTTAAAATGCTTCGAGCGCCTGGCCAATGAACTGCAGCTAATCACGTGATTTGAAGAGATGAAAAAAAATATAATACATTATATGTACGACGTAAAAAGTCTTACAAAATTCAGGACGATTTTACGTAAATTCAGGACTTAGAATTTTTGCCATTGTGCATTTAGTCATTAAAAACCGGCATTCTGAAGACAGAAAAAAAGAGAGGAAAAAAGGAAGAAAAAAGAAAAAAAGAAAAAAAGAAAAAAAGAAAAAAAGAAAAAAAGAAAAAAAAGAAAAAAAAGAAAAAAAGAAAAAAAGGAAAAAAAAGAAAAAAAGAAAAAAAGGAAAAAAGAAAAAAAGAAAAAAAGTAGTAGTAGTAGTAGTAGTAGTAAAATAATTTTATTTTAAAGCGGTGCTTTAGCATCTAAGGCCATTTACATCTCTAAGAAAAAAAGAAAAAAAAAGAAAAAAAGAAAAAAAAGAAAAAAAAGAAAAAAAAGAAAAAAAGAAAAAGAGAAAAAGAGAAAAAGAGAAAAAGATAGAAAAAGAAAAAAAGAAAAAAGAAAAAAGGAGGAAAAAAACAGATTCAAGCACAGGAATTTGTCAGATCCAATCCCGAGATTGTTCGTAGAAAAATGTGTGATGGCAGTGCGTTACGACGAAATTACATATGACACCCTGAAAATAAATTTTTTGCGAGGTTCTTTCTTTACCTCATTTTTTTGACCGCCCAATGACGCGCAGTCTCGTTGATACGAGGCAAAGTCTAAGCGACACTTTTTTCATTTTAGTGCGAAACTCATCCATGCTGTAGATGTGGCGTTTTCAGCTTATCGTCCTCGGTGAGTCTGATATACATTCGAAAACTATCCAAATCCTCAACAAAATTTCATTTGGATTTATATGTTTTTGAGGTTTCAAATATATAGCCCAAATTTCAAAACAAATATTTGAATTATCAACAATAGCGGTTGGCTTACATCCTGAGCTGACTAGAATCATACCGTCCGCCCTTCATCTGGAAAATCAATGATCGAAACTATAGTATGGTTATTTGTTCTGCTTTAGATTTAGCACCACTCCATAAATTCTTCTTAACCTGTCCCGAGTGTCCCGGGGCACCTCCACAACATTAAATTTAGATTAACTACCTAAAATACAGACAATTTTATATGCGCAAATGTTAGAGCCATTAGTTTAAAAACCATTAGTCTCGTCTCTGAATCCTCAAAACTTAAAGTTTTTACGTGTTGTCCAATGGTTTGAAGGGTCTTCTCTACTTGTCTCTAATAGTTCTATCCCTTCCTGTACAGCTACGCTAGCGGGACCTGTTCCTGAGTTGCTAGTAATGGCAAGTTATTCCAGTATGGCGAGGTGCTGGTCATCCTGGGGCAAGTACTCCTTGGCCCAAAACGTCAAGTTCCAGAAGGGTGACCACATTCTTCAGTCCCTCGTCCCCGTGCCCTACGCCCCACTGCCCCCTAGCCATGTATTCTTCGCCGTATCCGATAATCAGATCCTCCACATCGAACAAAGCAAGGAGTTCCCTGACAAGACGGTATCGTATTTTTTCATGACGAGCGTAGGAGCGGTGGGCATGTCGCAGGAAATTAGCAATTGCCGGCAGTTTGTGAATTAGAAACGCGAGGTTCTGTTGTTGGAGAACTTAGAAAATACGATCTTGATTTCAGGCCCCTTCATTTTTCCTAATACTCTACGCATTGCATCGGAGGTAGTTTAGTTGCCTATCCGACCCAAACCCAAATAAAGTCGCAATTTTCTTTACATACACCTACCTACAGGTGCACACTGTACCAGTTGCTAACACCCAGACAATGAGAATCAAATACACCAAATATTTAAAATGCAAGATAAAATAAATAGTAATCTCGCATTGTTTTTTTCTTCTCCTTTTTATTGAATTGTTGTACTTGATTTTTTTCTATTATTTATCACTATAGTTACTTGCAAATTGCCGACAGTCGCTAATTGCCTGCGGCAGATATAGATTCACCGAGGGAACGTTATGCCTTTTCATAGAGAACTAGAATATGTCACTTTACAAGATATAAATTGGGCGTGTTCATGCAAAAAGGAACTGCGTGAAAATTAGTGTAATCAAAGCGACGGTGTAAGTCGGCGATCATATAACTCGGTTTGCGACGTCGCAGATTTCCTGTCATGCTTTATTTTTTAAACGAAAAACTACCCAACAGCAATTCTTTAAAACTGTCGTGATTTTTCTTCTCTGTGCGAAGAAAATTCTGCATAAACTTCAAGGAATGATGTCAATTCGTGCTCCTTTAAAAAAATGACACAAAGGCGGAGATTTTCAGACACCGCATACGGGCTATGTGATTGCCGACTTACACCGTCGAAAAGGAAATGTGTGCATAGGATTTGCATACTCAATAGTTCCTTTAGATATAACTAATTTGAACGTGGTTCTTTTCGGCGGGAAAACGTCCAATTAAAGCACTTTGTTGTACTTTTATCCTTCAAAATTTTAATGAAAAAAAGATTCCCTCAACGGTGAGCTAGGAATTCAACTTCTCGGCGAGGCGGCGAGGTGTTACCTGACATGTACCCAATACATCGATGGAATGGGGCACAAATCATTCAAATTTCGACAATGTTTCGAAATGTTTTCTGACATTTGACAATGACAAACAGACGCAAGGCTTTTGATTTCTTATTATTGACATTTACACTGACGTCAGAGTAACGTATCGGTCAGAGAGAAAATTGGGTAACTGAACGTATATAGCCATTATCCTCGACGAATTTGTTGGGTTTAGAAACGCATCTTATATTAATTGCCTCCGACTATAAGCGAGACTTCGTCCCTTAACCAGCTTCTTTCCTTTGAGGGCCTCACAGCTCCATACGATTTACATTGTGATTATGAGAGGTCTAAAGAGATCCTCATGCTAACATATCATAAAATTGGAAATTTTCGCGAACCACGGGTAAAATTAAGCAGTACAACTTTGAAAACGAGTCATTAACAGGGATTATAATGATGTATCACAAGATAAAAATACAAAATATGAAAGAAAATATATTGAAAGTTTTTTACATTTTGAGGTAGGCTCGCACCAACCTCAGAGTTTGTCAAAATCATAGCACGTTATCTGCCGTATTTTCTAATTTTTGCAGAGGGAAATTGCGATCCATGGCAAGGGTTCGTTCCCAAAGTTGGATTGCATTTTAGAATGTTTTTGCAATGTTACGACCACTATCTCTGACTCTTCCATAAAAGCGCATCTCTGCATAGGGAAACCAATGTCATGAAACTATCACGTATTTCGATTTGCGATTGCGACGTTGCAGACTTCCTGTCATACTTAATTTTTCAAATGGAAAACTACATTACGCCAAGAATTCTTGAAAACCCCCTCGACTTTTTTTCTCTTTGCGAAGAAAACTCAGTGAAAACCTCGAGGAATGAAATTGATTCGTTCTCCGTCAAGAAAACAAAATGAGAGCAGAAAATTTTAAACACCGCAAATGAGATACATGGCTTGGTAGTTTCACCGTCGATGTACACTGAGAAAAAATTCTCGGCGTTTTTACCAAGGTCCGTTGGTACCTGTACCATCTCACTTTTTTACCAATTATTGGTAATTTTACCAAGACAGACTGGTAAGCTTACCTAAAAACTGGTATTTGTACTGTTTTTTCAGATAAGAATACCACTTTTATTGATAATCAATTCCCGGTAACTTTGCCATTTTATCTCGGTAATTCTACCACAGTCGATAAAAAATATTGGCGTTTTCACCAAGGTCCAGTAAAAATACGGAAAAAGTTCAATAATTTTACCGAGATTTCTCAGTAAAATTACCAGTTCCATAAATGGTAATTTTACCAAGAAAAAACTGGATCAAATGGAACCCTGAACTCTTGGTAATTTTACCCTTTTCTTCGTAAATACACCGATATTTTTTTTTCAGTGTATGATAGTTCTGAATATTGCAAAATTTGGTCCAGTTATACAACTTAATTTTACTGGAGGTTATCAAAAATTGTTCTTTTTTGCGGCTATTTTGAGGGACTCCTCGAATCTACCTCAATCACATTATAAGTCAAATGTAAACCCAAGCAGGGGAGGAGCTGTTTATGAGACGACTACGAATACAGCCTTATAATGCTAGAAATCTCAATACGCAGACTCCGTACCCCGTTGACTTGAAGGCGCTGAGAACGCTGACGAAGAATCGTGGGACGCGAGTGGTGAAGCCGGGCCCGAGGTACCGCCCTTGGGTCATGGACAAGGGTGCGGTGATCGCGACGAGGATGATGTGGGCGGAACTCCCGTACAACAAATTAACCTGTAACTGCAACCACTACGCCGACTATTTGACCTACGGCCGGACGTTCGGGGCCAAGTGGAAGGTCTGGTACCAACCCATGAGCAAAGAGTGCCCCCTATACACTCCCCTGGATGGAGACATTAATCCGGGCAAAGTCCCCATTTTGGATGGATACGGCAATGACATGGAGCTCGTTGAACTATTCGAGATGGTGGATCCTAAATCGGGGCTCACTCGCTGGGTAATGAAGTTGGAGTAGCCTCGGGTTGAGAAGATGGAGCCTTGAGACGGAATCACAGATAATATCGGCAACATTTTCCAATAAGGAACCACTATTTCTGGCTCATTTTAGAAACAACGTACATACTATTGGTTTCCCTATGCAGAGAGGTGCTTTTACGGAAGAGCCAGAGATATTGGCTCCTTATTCACTGGAAAAAAGAAACACATTGGATCTAGAGTCCAGACTCTTGAAAACATTGACAAGAAAAAATACTCTTGATTCAATCGGATTTTTGCTTGAATCAAAATGAAATCCGCTTAAATTAAGAGGCTTGGTTCTTGATTTAAGCTAGATACTGATTGAATCAAGAGTACTTTTTCTTGTCGATGTTTTCAAGAGTCTGGACTCTAGATCCAATGTGTTTTTTTCCAGTGTTGCAAAATGTAGTTCATATATGGACCACGACTAGCAGAGAAGAACTACGTCACATCACCAATTGCCAAATTTAACCGGGCAGTTTAATTTCGTACAAGAGATTGTTTGTGCGGGTGAATTTGAAATTTTTTAGGAATTTGCTTCGTACTTTGAAGAAAATTCACTGAAATTTGCAAGAAAAAATCCGCACGTTTTCATGTAAAAAATTAGTGCCCAATTAAATTTGGAAATATCTGATGTGGCTTGGTTCCTTTTTGCTTGACGCGGGCCATGTGAACTGCATTTTAGAAATAAAGAACTACTATTCCTCAATCTTCCAAAGAGGTACCTCTCCGCACGTATGCGTTGTTTCAAAAGTGAGCCAGAAATTATAAATTTCCATTGTAAAATGTAGTCAATTTAGCATACTGCCATACTCTGTAACAACAGCTTATAACTATTTAGTGGACAGTCATCATTTGATGAATCTTTGCATTGACTTCCGATAATAATTTTGGAAGATAATGAAAAAATCCTCTATGTTTTAAAAAGAAAAAAAAAACCTGTCTATAATTCTCAATGTAAAAGTGAAATTTTTAAAAGTAATTTTTGGTTCGTTACGCAATCTGAATATACAATTTACTATCAACTAACAGATGCGACTACTTTAAAAATATCCCTTCCATTCAATGCACGAATGCTCGTCCCATGCAAATTTTTGGAAATTACCAAGAAAAATCTGAATTGTAAATCCAGAACTTGAATTGTACTGTTCATTCACACCAATAAATCCGATGCCTTACCATCCGTCCGTCCATTCTTCAAGCCGAATGAATAATTATTAAAGCTTCCAAAAATGTCCATCGGGCAACACAGTTTGTTACATTTGTAATTAAAGGGAGAGAAAAAAATGAGCTGCGCAGGGAATAATTATTGTTTGAATTACTCTCTCAAGGATGGTAAAAAAGAGAAAAAAAAGGAGGGGAAAAATCGACATTCGATGCCCAGTTTATGACGATTTCCTGTCTATGATAAATTTTATGGCACGGCAGGAAAGAGAAGCTCAAAATTAGAGATGAAAGAGAGAGAAAAATGAAGCCAAATAATTAATTTTCTACAGTGGCGTGGCTTGAATGATCGATTATCGATATTTTCCCATTTGAAAATGCGGTAAAGAATCGATTATTAAGGTGTTCGCTGCGAGCACCCTGTTCATCAATCCTTTTCCATAGGTTTAAACGGCAGATCAATCCGTAAATCGCAAAGCACGCTTTGCCACTAATTTCCTACATTCTATTTAAAGTGAAAAGCAAGAGGGGGAAAATTGTAAAGAGAATTGATTTTAATGAGTCAAAAAAAAGCTCGATTGAAAAAAAAATGTATCTCTGAGAGCAATCATACTCCCGAAGTTCAACTTTCCTGCCGGCCTCGGTTGTAATATTCACCGTTCATTGATTTATCCATGAGAGAATAATTAAAAAACTCCCCTCCATAACACCCCTCGGGGTCTCGTCATAGAATTATTTTGACTCTTGCGTGGATCAAATTGCATAGCCTTTCCAACGGAGCAGGGGCTTCACTCATGTCCACATTTCAATTTGCTGTGGACGCTAGAAAATATGATTTTATAAAGGTTGCCCTTCAGGACGCCCCCCCCCCTAAAATAGTACCTAGCCCCACCCATGCATGTTTTTTTATTTTACATCAATGTAACAGTTCTTTGCGGTTTCAGAAAAAGTAGGTACTTGAGACTTTACTTCTTTGTTTTTGCCTCGTTTTCGCAACCCATGAACTTTTAAAAAATGCCTATACAATGGTGTGATCGGTGGTATAGAGCTATTCACAAAAGGGCGCGTGTAGCGAAAACTAATCCCTGTTGTTTTCCATGTCACTCGATGAATGGTTGCAAGCATTGGATATAACTCACTCGTTACACTCATTCAACGTTGCAGGGTTATGCGATGGATCTGGAATTTTTTACAGAAACATGGTGATCCAGAAGCCCTGCCACCACCCCTCGTACTAACTAATTTGAGATGAAGACTTGAAAATGCGGGAGTGTCTATTATCCATATATTAAAGGAAATTACTTTTAGTTACTATTTGCTAATTATCTTCTATCCAAAATGGCATTGGCGGATCCAGGAAATTGCCGTTACTGTCTTTTTTAAACAAATGGAAATGTATCGATTCTTGTAGAGGCCAGGCGCTCCGACAAGAAGCGATTATTTAGTACAGGAGGAAATTCGGTGTAGCGAAATTGCTGGATCCGCCTCTGCGAAATGGTTGCGCCTGATCAATTTCAATGTCACAAAACATTGATTGGCATCGGTGATAGATAGAGATTTGCAATGTGGACGAAAAATTCTGATAGACCAAAATGGGCCTCTGGCGAATAAGATCGGCCAGAATCTCGAGAATAGATCAAGTAATGAGCGAAAGAGTGAGTGAGATAATGAACGCCGAGAAGGACATCGTTCGTGAAATTATGACCATAACCGCTTGTCTGGTATGGTCATGGTTGACGTATGGCGGATGACAGATTGTCTAAGAAGGTACTAAATTGGGTTCCTCTCAGAAAGAGACGAAGAAAGCGCCCAGCGAAATCTTGGAGAAGTGACATTCAAAATGAAAATACAAGGAGCAATGGATATGTTGCATGTGTGAGGAATTTGCGATTTGACTGTTGCTTCTTATGTAAAAGTTCGCGAGAAACACGATGGTCCCACTGGTTTTCTCTGAAATCAACTCCCAAGCTCAAAAAAAGCTCTCAAGTTGAGGCCAAAAAGGAGGGGATATCCCACCCTACCCTGAGAGTCCACCTCTACATCAAAACAAACTCTCCATGAAAAGATAGGGAGCAAATACATTAGCAGGGTTGCCGTGTTTTCAGTTTTCGAGTCCCCGAATAAAGTGGCAGCCCTGCCAATGTATTTGCTCCCTATCTTTGCATGGAGAGTTTGTTTTGATGTAGAGGTGGACTCTCAGGGTAGGGTGGGATGTCCCCTCCATTTTGGCCTCAACTTGAGAGCTTTTTTTGAGCTTGGGAGTTGATTTCAGAGAAAACCAGTGGGACCATCGTGTTTCTCGCGAACTTTTACATGAGAATCAATGGTCAAATCGCAAATTCCTCACACATGCAACATCTCCATTTACCAGATGACCTCTGTTTCGATAGACAATGATGGCAAATAGGAGTTGGAGGGAGTGTCGTCCCGCAATGAGAAAACCGACACGGGTCCGATCGTCCAAAAATTTCAAGTCTTCATCTCGATTGGATCAAAAGTTACGAGGGTGGTCCGGGACTTTTCAATCATCCTGTGAGAGCGGAGGGGGTTGAAAAGCTGGTTTTCGAGCGAAATCTGGCAATCGTGGACTCAGTGGAACAAGAGGCTCAAAATAATGAGTCTTGTTTTGCGTTGGCGGGGCCTCATTGAAATCCACGTAGCATATACGGCATTCGTGATCTCGTACCTAGACATGTTCCATTAGAACGTATACTTTTTCCATTAGAACGTATGTTTTTTATGCAACACTTACTACACTAAAAGTGATGATAATACGAGGCTAACAAGCAGGGAAAGCACATTAATGAAGACTGGAGTTGCTAAAATTACTGGCTAAAATATTCCAGTACTATGCTGGGCTGAAGAAGAATGACGTACGAAAATTTAAGAGTTGTCTGATTTCTACCAGTAAAATACTCATTTTTGAAGGAAGTTGGGAATATTTAGACGTATTTAAATACAAAAAACCTATCTTTATTGTAACCTCTGCCCTAGAACCATAAGGCTACGTGCATGACAGAGCCCAATTCACGCAATGAGATTAGTTAATTTTGACTTGAATAAGTCCATTTGGACATCTTTACGCGTCTGCAAACTGGATGGAACCACTCGAAAATGAATTAAATCAAAAAGAACTATGTGAAGAGAAGACAAAAGCTACATAAACAGTTTCTTTTAGATTTCATGCGTTTTACACATTGATGGATCCTTTTAGCATTATCCTTACACTTTACAGAAGAATAATTCGCAAATTTCTGGACGGAATCGGAAATATAATTCTTCGAAAAATCTTCACATTTTTTTTATTTATTATTAATGTAATTTACATATATAGAAATTACATGATGATTGCCAGACCCACAAAAGTCTTTATGGATTTTTCTTATTCTAAATACAAAATATAAAGGGATACAGCGCTTTACGAGCCTAAAACTATTTCAGAAGAGAGAAAACAAAGGGGGGGGGGAATCTTTACATACATATTCTTAATTTCCGCGGAAATTTCACAACGTTCAAATTTTCATCCATCATTTTTCCTAAGCACGGTTCCGAACATGTGACGAAGATGAAAAAAAAACTAAGTGCTTTTAAAAAAAACTAAGTGCGCGCGTAGGTTACGTCAATATCGTGTCATTTTTGGGTTTTTTTCTGAGAAAGAGAATTGTCATGCAAACCCTAAAAAATATGATTTTTAAATAATACTCCACCGCGCGAAGTGATGCGCAGAATCGCTTCAAAATTCAATGAAGTTTAGTGTTGTATTTTCCTGTTTAGTGTGGAGTACCTTTCGTAGGGAGAGCACAGACATGTAACATTCGGTTAAAATTTCTAAAGCAGCAGCCCGTGACGACGGTGATATCAAAAATATGGGAGATATGTTCTCCTATGTTTTTGATATCATGTAACAATTTATAGCTC